AAAATAATTCACATTCTTTCGGACACTCACTTTAGAGTTATAGACCACAAAATTGAGGTGGCATCCACCTGTGGCATCAAATTTGCTCTTGTTTTTATTCACATAAAACTGAATTGAGATCCTTTACATTATTGCTATCGTGATCGCTAACAGAAATACAGGTCTGTGATTTTGGATGTTACAATTCTGGGTCATTTTCTGAAACATTTAGAAGCAACATGGGAAGAGAACGTAGGAGATGGTCTAATTTTGATACTGATAGAACACATATCTACCAAGCAAAAGTCGGAGAAGGAAAAGTGGGGAAGGGAATGAAGCAAAATAATATCAATTCACTACAATATATAATTAGAATTTATACCATGAGGACTGAATGTGAAATCTAGCTTGCATGTTTCTCTGGTTCTTCTGTGACCAAGGCAGAAAAAACCAAAATCAGGTAGTTTGTCTCTCATGGATGGACTGGGAATTTTGTCCAGAAAGCTTGTATCCTTGTGTCTTTTTACCATGAAGGAGACAGAAGGCTGAAGCTCTACAACACATTATACAAGCATAACCTTCAAAACAGATATCAAGGTGTGTGTGGTGGTTACCTCTGGTTTGGGGAAGAACTGTTCTGACTTTAAGGAGTCCAAGCAATTAATGGAAATTTCTTATTCCAAAAACATTCCCACATTAGCTTGGTTCTAGACTTGCTTTTCATCCACCCACTCCCTCTGTTTTGCAAATCACAGACAGACTGAAAACAATGACACAAAAAGTTGTCTCTAGTTAGTATTGCATCTAAAGTGACCAAAACTAAAGAATCCATCTGTTAAAACTGCTCAACCAGCTCCTTTACTGGTGAAAACTTGTGCAGTCTGCTTGTTCAGCAGTACCAGTCTGTGTGTCTTAAAGCAAGTTTTAAACCACCCTGGTTTTGATTTCTCACCTCAATATTCCTTTTGCTGTCACTGGCAGTATCAGCAACAACTTGGCAGAAAGGCACCAGACCCAATGAACTTGTGATCCTGATCCAATTACTCTTGGTTTGCTGGTATCTTTGCAAGAACACGTTTAAATGAATTTGTGAGTTGGTGGGAGGTCATGTGTTCTAGGTTTCAAATGCAGCTCTAAAATTTGGAAATACTTATTCTATCAGTTGTCTCAAAACGTTGATAGAAGCAGCAATTGAGAGCAAGTTTCTCTCTGATCTTTGTAGAAGCCAAAAAGTAGTCACTTTCAAACGGGATCCCTTATCTCTTACACAGCAGAGGTTCTTGTTCAGCTACATGTTTGTTTGTTTGCTTAAAAAAATTAGATTTCCCTTGAAAAACGATGGTTCAAATTAAGAAAAAAAATATTTATAAAACTTAAAAACCAGGTTCAAGAACCTCTGCACTTAAAACAAATTCTTAGGGTTTTAAAAATCCATAAACACCATGGGGTTCTTACACTCCTAATTACGAATGTTTAGATTTTGGTGTTCATTTCCTCTGATTGAAATACTGCAGGATGAATTATTCATTCAGTATATACAGGGTCATGGAACTTAATCCCCTCCATTTATTTTAAGTGAAAGTCATGTTTGCAAAAAGTGCCAGATTGACAGACAAGATTCAACCCTTCTGATAACCTACACTTTGTATCTAAGGCCGTTTGGAAGTAAAAACTCTCATGTCAGGACTGTTAGGTCAAGTCTTTCACAGATGAAAGTCAGAGATGAAAATTTGTCTTTTTGTGTTTTTTTTTTTTTTTTTTTTTTTTGAGTAGCATAGTTTTAAATCATATAGAGTGAGATTTTCTCTATCCTCTCATCTTTTAATTCAGGTCAGAGGAAGCCTCTCACTGCTTTGTGGGTATGGCTCAAACCTCCCCTGAGGCAGAATTTCACTCTGTGCTGGGCCAGTTCCTACCCATCCCAGTGCTGCCTGCTTGGCTGAGGGCATCTGTGGCATCCACAGAATCGTGGTTCTGAGTGGTAAAGCTTTGTAGCAGTGCAACAAAAATAAGAATGATTCACCAATTCAGTGAGGCAGTGATGACAGGCAGCATTGGTGGCCTCTGACAGGTTGCAGCTGGTGGTCCCTACACAACTGTCTCCATGTCCTGCCCTCAGTAGTTGGGGCAAGATCTTTCTGATGTTCACAATAGACTATAAAAACAACAGTTCTCACAGCTGTATTTTGAGTAAGAGTGTGTGTGTGTGTGTGTAGAGGGTTGTATTGGCTGCTATAAATCTGGATAGGTATTCTTTTAAATTAAGCTTTTACAAAAACTAGTGACTCTTTAGTCAGTTTCCATCTATTTTATCAACAACACAAGTGGCACCTACAGTAGGATTCAATGGGCTTCTTCAGGAATTACAGTTTGAAGACTTTGTGCCATAAGGCCACAGAACATATGTGTGGTTGGATCAAATATCTGTCAACAAGCCTGTTGATAAAATATTTATCAACAATGTCTGCATTAATGTGAGGTGTTCAGGAGCTCAGATTTTCCTCAGATCATGCAAAGTCATCTGCTTGTGGTTGCTGAGGAGCCCCTGGTGGCCTTGTCTGTCGGAGATGCAGGAGGCGAGGACATGGGCTTGAACCAGTAAAGTGGTGCCTTGTTGGCACATTGCTTGGCACAGATCTACCCTGTACCTACCAACACATCCTTTCCAAAGCACAGCTAAGGGCTCACAGAACATCAGCACTCATAATGAGGAATCCTGCTTAAAATGGGGCTTTCAGGCCCAGCTTTGAGCCCACTGCTTGCTACCAGCCTGAGGAACAGGGTGGATTCACAGAGGCCAAAAAACCTCTTTTGAGGTCTAGAAGCTGAAGGTTTGTCCTGTCTCAATGGTTATGTCTCAATGCCTCTTCAGGGACTTGTCTCATATATTTTCTCCTTCCAGCACCCACCCCTTCAGGGTTTCTGTACTTCTCTGTGCAGAATATGTTTGGGTTGTGGCTTTTGATATCCCAGTGTTACAACCTGGCTTCAATGGCTCTACTGCCCCTGTGCAAAGCTTTTTGTTGGTGCTTGTTACAAAAAACAGAGGTTCTCATTCTTCTTTCATGTTTGCACATTGTAAAAGCAGCTTTTCTAGGGCCACACTTCTTACTTCCAGTAAATTCAATGAAAAATATTTCCACGTGATTCTAGAATTGTACTGATTTGCAGTGCAATTATTTGCAGGTTTGTATTTATTAGTATTGTTGCAAACACTGACATTTAAAGCTGAGGCTAAAGTGTAATTCTGAGTTGCAGTAGGGGGCATGTAATATGAGTTACTGGTCAGATCACATATTTGGCTTTTCAAAAGAATAAGGCAAAGCTTCCACAAAGTATTTACAGATTTTGAGTGACAATTATGTTGCTGTAGCAGCTGTATGTTTTGTACTAATTAATATTCCTGTTGGAAGCTTGTGGCTAAGATCCCATTGTTGTCTCCTGCTGCTTTAGTTTGGTGTACAGGTTTATATTGACAGAGTCCAGCAGAATTACTGCTTTGTTTCCCAAATGACAGTGAGAGGATGGTCTAGACAGTGGAACTGTGAGCTACATGGATGGGAAACTCATGATCCTGAAAATAGGCCAGTGCCCTTTATGAAAGTAAATAGTGGAAGTCAGGCAAATGCAATCCAGCCAGAAATTGAACAAGTGAAATGTTAACACTATATGAAGTTTTAGCAGAAACAAAAGTCTGTTTCATGTCTTAACTTTGCACTATTCAGGTTGGGTCCAGTTGTGCCATGTGATGATGCTACAGGATTTGTTGAATCAATACTCTTCTTTCATATCCAGATAGGAAACATTTTTGAGAAAAAATGGCACCCTAAATCCTAAGACAAACACTACACAGATTGAAACTTAAGCAAGATAAATGCTCTTGGTTTGTACCTGTTGTGCTGAAGAAACATTTATGGGTGTGAAATAAACCACCAAACACTTTTTAGTTAAATAAGGAGTCATAAATTGTGAAATCATACCATAGCTGACTGAAGGACTCTCCCTTCTCTATTTAAATAAAAACCCTTCTCTCCAGCCTACAGAAGGACCTAGGAAAATAGCTTGCAGGAAAGGACCCAGCCCTGCAATTGTTTTGTGCACAGAAGCCCTATTGAAACCAGGAGAAGTTATGAGCAAAGAACATTTGCAAGTTTTTTATCCCAAGTATCTAGAAAACAGAATTTTAAAAGACACAATCAATAATACTACTGCTATAGTTCTGACTCATGCTCTGAACAAACAGTTACCAAAGAGTTTAAGATGTTCCACCTCCCTCAGCCACTGTTGCCTCTTCACTCTGGGGAGTGCTGCTTTTCAGATCTGTGCCTGCACCTGCCCAGGGCAGCTCAGGCTGAGCCCATCCTCCTTCGGGGCCAGGAGAGGTGAGGCACAGCGATGGGTCTGTCTGTCCTGTCACTGGGATGGCTGTGGTCACTGCTCACCCAGCTCAAACTGCCCCAGCACTACCCAGCAGGGCTTGCAATAGTGACCAACACCCTGTGCGAAATTTGGGAAAGGTAGGTAAATGCTGCAGCTCATCTACTCCAACCTGTGGAAATCATTGCCAAGTACATTGAGGTACTCAGTGAGAGAGAAGGGAGAGACTCATTACAAATCCCTCCAGTAGCTCTCAAGTGCAATGATTAGATGCAACCATGGGCTTTGAGGAGTCCACAAACAACAGCTTGCAGGAAGGTAGGCAGGTGAACAGGGGGCTTAGCAGCTCCTGCCCGGCTCTTGGTGTGGGTTCCCTAAACATCTGCTGGTGGTCCCTGTCTGGGACAGGTTGCTGGGAGACATGTGAAGCACTGATCACAGTGAGGTAACTGGTCTTAAAAGCAAAGCAGAAGGGGCCACTGAGCCCCTGAAATTTAGGGGAATGGATACGGTTTTCTCTCTTGGTGTCCCTGCTGGTCCTAGTTTTGTTACAAAGCCCCAGAAGCATCTGAGGGCAGCTTATTTTCTGCAAGATCCAATGTGTCTTACTCTTAGAAATTATTTTCCCTTCCCTTTCCTTTCAGGCACCCAATGGCCTCCCAGCCGTCAGCAGTTTCGTGTCCGCACCAGCCATGCCTCCCTACGCCACACCAGCCCAAGTGTCACCTTACATGACTTACAGTGCCACTCCATCCAGCTACATGGCGAGCCACGGCTGGCAGCACGCCGGGGGCACCCCACTGTCCCCTCACAGCTGCGACATCCCCGCCTCGCTGGCGTTCAAGGGCATGCAGACAGCCAGGGAGGGCGGCCACTCCGTCACCGCCTCCGCTCTCTGATGCAGGAGCTGGTCCAGGAGCACCACGAGCGCGCTGGCTCCTCGGCCCCTGAGCCTAGCTCATGGACTGGCCTCTCCATGCTGGCCACACTTGGCATTTCTCCTCGTGACTTGTCTCCCGTAAGGCTTTTGGGATTGAAAGAGCTGAAGACAACATCAGAAACTGACAGAAGCGTGGTGTTGCGCTCTTAAAGACTTTGTGTCCCTCAAAGGGCTCGTGGAGCCTTGTTCCACTCTCTCCTGGTCAAACCACACATATTTATTCTTAATCATTGCAAACTTTCTAAATGTGCAATTGTTACTAAGGTTTGTGCAAAAATCAATAAAGAACAATCATCACAGAAAATTCTGCTATGCCTTGAATCAGCAAGGGTGGCTGAATGGGAATTGTTTTTGCCAATTGCCTAGAGAACAACCCTATAACTGATGAGATTATACAATCCACTGTTATTAAGAGGTCCTTTATTGTTGTTTTATTGGGTTTTGGTAATCAAATATAGAATGAAGGCAATAGGTGGCTTTCAGATTTTTCTGGCATGTTGCCATCGTCAGGCAGTAGTAAGATCTTTGTGATTTTATCCATTTGTAAATAGAGGCTTTTGACAGCATTTGTTTTCACCTTCCAGTACGTTTCTTACTTTTTTTTTTTTTTTAGGTTAAAAAGATGGTTTCTAGTTATTTTCTGCATCTTTGCATGGTGGGGTGATAGGTGATGATGTTTAGGTAGGGGTTTTTTGTCATGTTTTTGTGACTACAGTGGAGGCTTCAACATCTTATGAAATAGTTATCTCTTTGGCAGAAGAGTTAAAGGCAGAAATCCAGCTAAGTAACTCTCCACAGTTATACCCAGCCTCCCAGATTCACGAAACACCACATTCATATAAATTGTACAAACAGAAATGGGTGGAAGATACCCAAACAAAATGGAAAACTGTAGAGGAAAATGCTGTTAGTGTGCAACCTGTGCAGAGATGCTTAAAAAGCCCTATCAGTCACAAACCCCACTGAGAAAAAGAATTGTACCATAATTCTCAGCTCACTTGTGTCCAGATTATGTTGTAATTTTTTAAACAGGACCTTGTCTTTAATTTCTGCTTTAATGAATGTAAAGTATGGCTCTTGGTAAAGTTTACATTGTTGTTCTGAAGCATTTTTTTTTCCCCTTATAGGTATACTGGTGGTGGTGCTACAGAGATATTTAATATTAGCAAATTTCCTTTCTACATTTCTGTATGCAGTGGCAAGTACTCCGTGCCAGTTATTCTGCTTTAAACTTTAATCCCAAGAGAACTAACATCCTGATTTTTGAAATTTTACCTGTTTTCCTTGGGCAATAATAAAGTTCTGACTATTATTATGCTTTTCCCATGCTGTAGGTATGTTCAGAATATGAATGTGGGAAAAAAAAGAAAAAGCCTGGTGTAACATTTCATATCCATCATAGACAATTAATATATTGTGTATTTTTAAAAGTGTTTTGCAATAACTTAAATTACTGTAGACATAGTTAAAGCAAAGGAGAAAGTACCTTTCTTCATATATTCAATTTGCATCCCATATTGAGCACTAATTCAGTGGGAAAGTAAAATACAGTTCCTTCTTAAAATACAGTTCTCTTTTTGTGGATTTCCAGCTTTCATCACCAAGACAGCTGTGGGTAAATTTTCATAACAATCTAAGTACTCAGTATTAATGTCATGTAGAGTATGTCCACTGAAATATGGATGGATTCCGCTGGCTGCTGCCACCTTTGCTTCTTGCACTAAAAAATAGTTAACAGAACTGCATTTCTGTAAAGAACACAGATATTGTATTTTGGCCCCAAGGAAACAAAGATCTGATCTTGGATGTGGTTCATGTTCTTCAGCCTCAAAGATATTCAACAGCTGTGTAGCTTTAATGAGATGCTGAAACCCTTGTTATCCAGTAGAACACTTTTTCAAGAATGTTTCTTTGAAACCACTAAAGTGCACACAAGTGCATTTCCAATCTGCCACACTGTTAGTGACATGATGGATGTTATTCTTTATGCTGTTTTGGCTGAAATAAGATGAGCCTTAACACCATGAAGAAGAAATAATTTTAATACTAGACAAGCTCTTCACTAAAGATAAAATGGGGGAATAAAAAAGATAAGAAGAAGATCATAAGTAGATAAGTGATTAAGTTGCCAAGAGGATTTTAGCTTTCAACTTAGTCGTTCTGTACTGGATTACAGAATTATTGAGTGAGTCTACTTATTGTTTTCCATAGAACTCAAAGAAGGGGCACCAAAGGGAAAAGAAAACAAACAAAAAAAAAAAAAAAAGAAGAGAAACTTTTCAAAGCACAGCTTTTTTGAGCTTCAAGACTTTGCAAGCCTGTAACAAAGTGTGCCTGTGTTAAAAATTTTCCAAATTTTCTTGAGTAACATGAGGTCATTTCTGGAATAAAATTGTCTTTCCTGACATTCCAATGAGGAATTAGTGTGTTTTGGGAGATGGAGAGAGAGATCCTTTGCTTGTATCAGTTACTGTCATTTTCTTTAGGTAAATCAAGATAATTTATAAAACAAGGACAGGACATTATGTTAATTATTACTCCCATGGGATACACCATCATAAACCTTTTTGTCTTGTGTTTGTTTAGGTACAGCTCTCCGCGCATCTGCCTGCTGTACATGGTACCTTACCCCTGAATGGGAAGTCAGCGGGGCTGCGTGCAGACAGTGTTGCTCAGAGTGAGCAAAAGTGCCTGACCTGGGCTCTTGGTGAACTGCCTGTGATGGATTTTTTTGGTGTGAAGTTTCACAATTTTTTTAAAAAAATTAAACCTATAATGTAGAATAATCCTTTGCTCAAGGACTATTTCACTGCTTATACTCACGGGTAAACTGAAAACTGCATCCATTTTACATTAAATTAAAAAGAAAAAGGGACCTGTTTCCTAAAAAATAACAAATAAGGGTTAACTGCTGCTGTCAAGTACAAGGGTATAAATCTGGAGTGAACCCACTGAGGTGAGTGGATGCATTTGGGAAATACGCAGTATATGTGAGTGCAGAATTAAATTTTTAATCTGGAAAGTCTACACCTCATTCCCAGACTGTTAAATGTTTCCAAAGAAATCAGTGAAGCCTAATAATACTTCCTTCAACCAAACTGTGTTTGCATGGTCCCAGTTCAGATGATGTTTGGTGTAAAACTCAGTTTCAGCCCACATTGCACAAGGAGTAATGGGGCATTGGTCTGGCACATTCATAGGTTTGTTTTTTCATACCAACCTGTTTTCTGTTTTCAAATGTTTCTCCTTTTATCCAAGATCAGGCTGAGCTACTAACTGAAAAAAATCATGTTGGAAAGGATGTAAAACCGAAGGCTATATATGTATATACAGTATGTTTAAAGCATTTTATTTTTATATTTTGAATGCTCTAAATTAATAAAAGACAAATTATAAAGCATTTTGCTTTAGTTTTTTGAAATTATCTTAGTAGTGTCTTCTCTTTGGCCAAGCACTGATAATAAAATGCAACAACCAGGAACAGTTGCTTAAAACCATAAACTTTTACAGAGCTAATTTTATTGATTTTAGCTATGAAATAGCATAGGTATGAAAAGCCACCGTTGCCAAATTCAGACAAAGGAGAGGCTTATTGAGCATGTTAATACAGGCATCCTTGGAAGCGCTGAAAACACTTTCCTATTTTTAGCTTTTTGTTGCTTTTCCAATGCATTGAAAACACTCTTGAGATGAAGGCTCCACATGTGAACTGCCATTTCCAAGTAAAAATGCAGAGAGATACTTCTTCAGGACTGCTAAGGAAAAGGTTTGTACCTCCTTCAGAGGAAGAACATTACTGTTAACAGAGTGAGCCTAGGATGGGGAGATTCTGAAACTTTCAGTAATAGCAAGATATATATGCTTGCTTGACAACAAACCAAATTAGATAATGGAGGCATTTTTATAGCAGAATAATGCGTGATTTTAAATTATTTAAAAAGCTTTTTAAAAAGAAAATGTAGAATGACACAACTGCACAAACAGAAACTATGTTTTCAGTCAGCATAGCAGAATTTACTGTATTTCACTGAGTTAGAATGGCTAGTAAGAATGCAAGTACATCCCTGAAATATTTACATTTACAGTGACTGGGAAAAGCAAAAGCTTTAGCTTCAGAGCAATGTCTTTTTACCCACAGAAAGGTGCATTTCTTTGAGGTGTATGGCTAGCTAATTACAACTGCAGATGTGCTATCAGTCTACAAGCTTGTTTCACCATTCCATGGTGGAAATGAAAGGCTAAAGGGGCAGTCAGGGTGCACTGAGTATTTTTATCACAGGACAGCTCTTTTGGGATAGCATATCAAAGTGGAGAAAAGAAATTGCAGAAAAATCTCATATGCCTAAAATTACTTTTTGCTGTTAATTTATTTACTCATTTCTTCTATGAATTCCAGGTTGGTTTGCATTTTTCTGTAACTTGATGCATACTAATTACTTCCAGTATCTTCTGTGATCTGAATGAGATTCATATATATATGCCTAAGAACAAGTAGGATATTTAGTAGTGTGCATGTTTTTAAGGGTGTGACTACTTGTGCTGTTCTTTTCTATCCAAACTTGAACTTGAAAAACTCTTCTATGAATGCTGAAATCGTACTGGACTGAATTGGAACTGGACTCAAGACTGACTGAAGAGTTGCAGAGTATGGATCATTTTCTTAATGTGGGGTCAATGGAGCTGTCAGTTTACATTAGCTTAGTATCTGCCCCCCAGGATTATTCATTTTTTTCCTTTAAAATGCCCTGAAAGTTTTTATCTTGCCATTTCAGCTGAAACTTTTAAAAAAGTATATGGTTACATAGGATGTTTCTGTGTCAAGAAATTCCAGTTTGTCCTTTAAAACTCACTGTCTTAATGTCTGCTTTATATTTTCTCTTGATCCAGCAAAACAGTTACAAATACCCAGTGCTGTTTAATTATGCACTTACAGAAAAACATGTAGTCAAATGTTTTCTTGGATCAGGACCTAGAGACCATATTTGTTTGGAACTGTATTAACATCAGTGCAATCTGAGGGTATTTATTCAACACTAAAAAGGATAAGAATCACTTTTGCTTTATTATAGTGTATTTTAGAATGCATACAGTTTTAAAGGGTACATTTTTTCAGAAGTGCTACTTGTGATTAACTGTGTCCTGAAGCCATGCATAAACATATTCGTAAACCAAAAGCATCACTGCTCCACCTAGAAGAAAAGATATTATTTTACTACATAGAAGATCCAGTATTTTCAAGTTTTTATAGAGCATTTCTAGTGTGGAATATAAAACAGAATATGGCAAAGCCTTATTCACAAAATGGATAGTTCTACTATTTCCTGAGTTCACTAAAAATTCACCAATTCATAAACCATACCAATTTTACTTCATATTAGATCATAAAGTTGATGTCAATAGCTTGTATATTAAATCAAATTCACCCTCAGTGTGATTTTTCCTAATAATTTTTCAAGATTGATATTTTTCTTTGTTCTTCTACAAGTGAAATTTTTCATTTGAATATATGTATATTTGTGTGCCTGTTTAATTGGATTTGGCCATGAAAGAGCAACATGACTGGAGGAATGACAAAAATTCATCTCCTGGATGTTAAAAATGCTACCAGGTAATATTCAAGAGAGTTTTTCACCTGTTTTTTTGCCATGTCTAAAGCAGAAAATCATGATAAGGAAATGGATATACTCTTTCCTGGCCAGAAATCCACAGGCAAAATTTTGATCTAATGAAATGGCATTATTTGCTAGAATTGGTAACAGTATAAAATCCCAGCTTGAAAGCCATAAAGTATCTTTACTGTTAGTGAAGTCAGACTGCAACTGGGCTGTAATTACTGTATGAGATTAAAAAAAGGGAACATTTCATGAGGTATATATACATATATATATATATATATACATATATATATATATATATATATACACACATACATGGAGAAGCTTCTAGATGGAGAACATGGACAAAGAGAACCAGGCTGAATGAGTAAAAGTATATTATTTGTGGGTACCAGCACCGGGGCATAAATATCTTCTTGCCTTTGCCTGTTGGTTCAGTTGGTGGCTTGGAGTGGCACCTCTAACAAAGGAGGCTTCTGCTGAACTGGGCTCACCTTTCTAGGGATGGGCTAAGACAACCAGGCACACAGAATTACCACATGAGTTTCTCCATATCATTTACTCTAAGGAACCAACATCAAATTTGTTCTCTATGAAATTCTCCATGAAAAGGAACTCACAGACCGCTAGACAGAGCAGATGTTTGTAAAAGGCTTTGACCAACAAACAAATCATAGACATAATGTCTCAGATGTGATTTGAACACAAATCAAGGCTGATTCCAAATCTCATACTGTATGATCAGTTTGTGTATCTCTTTTCCTGTAAACACTCACATGTTGGAAGAAGGAATTACCTTCCCAGTCACAATAAAGATTATGTTATTGTTTCATCAGAAAGTTAAACCTTTATGTTAGCTAGCCAACATAACTACAAAAGTATTTAGAATGAAGTTCACATGTAACTGACTTGCTGGATTGGGGCCAGAATGCACAGTCATTTGTAAGATGGAAAATTTTATTCCAAAATCTGCTGTGCTAAGACATACTGGGAAAGCTAAACACTGCCTTCTCTTTGTTTTGTGTGTAATCTAGTGTCTTTGGAGGGTGAGGGAAAAGGCTTTCAGCTCCAGAGCTCCTTGTTTCCCCTCCCCACCTTCTTCCTCACCCTGCACAATAACCAGGCATGGTCTAGTACTTAGCCAGATGGATTGGATATGCAAACATTTACAGACAAACCTAATGCCTCCTTTATACTGCAGAACAGGCTCTGTACCTACTTGCTTCACCTATGTGTGTTCTTGCATATTAAACAACCAGCTTGAACAACTGGAAATACAATTCCATGGGAATGGGATAGTGTTCAAATTGGGGCTTCTGCTCTTTTTGATGCAGACTGCCTTTGTGGGCTGACAAAGTGTGAGGGCCCAAAGTGCTTTGCTTTCATGATTAATCAAAACCAGTCAGGAAAAAAAAACCTCTACAAACTGAAGAAGATACAGCTCTCAACCACTGTGCTCCCACATTTGGAGCAACAATTAGTAAGAAGGGGTCAGACAACAACACCAGTTTTAAGATATCCTTGTCCTCTAGTTTTCCAGGGCCATACAAGTCTCTTCCCAGCTCTGCTATCAGGTTTTTAGTGTCTGCCCCCATAGGGCATAGGAGAAGAAAGTAACTGGAATTCAATATGCTTGGGCTGTGCTTTGACTAGTTGAGTGCATTTTATGGAGACACTCTAACCTGCATTTTAGGCTGAGTGCACATAGGTATGGAATAGTCCTAATGAACTCAAAAGATCACATTAGAAGGAATAAGAAACTTTAAGAAACTTCCAAAAGTTTTACAGTTCTGTCATTTGCATGTACTTTGGTTTGTTCGTAGGTAAGACAATTGCACAAACCAGCAGTTACTTGGATTTGTAATTCTCTGCTGTATATGTGTAAACGATTTTTTTAGACACATATTTAGCCAAGTCCATCCATGATACTACTAGATGATGCTATTTTAAAAAGAAACCATTCAAAGTGAAAGATATTTTGATTCATTTATTTGACTGATATTTAATACATTTTCTCAAGAAATTGAAAAATGGGAAGAGAAAGCAAGAACAAAAGCAAAATAGAAATGACAGAAGGAAAATTACCTGGACCCAGCCTCATGATCTTGGGAAGCAAGCCTTTGTACAAAGCTAGAAATCTGTAGCAGAAGAAAAACAAACAAAACATTTCAAACAATATCCTTGCTCTAAAAGAAGAATGGAATTGTAGCATATGTTTGTTAAAATGCTGGCAGAGCATTTAGAGGCAATTATTTGAAATTACACATGTTCAATAGCAGGCTGTATCTGGATTTTAACATTTTACAGAGGCAGATCAGATGAAGAGAAAAAGTTAATCAATGTTCAGTCACTAAAGCAATGTTGTGAGCCTAGCCAATCAGAAATCTGACTTTAATCAGTGAGATGGGTTTACTTTCAAGACAAGTCTGTTAACAACAGCTGCATACAGGGACAAAATGACTGATATAATTGAATATCAAAGCCACAACTCAGTCACCATTTGAGAAATATTTTTAAAAGTTGGAAAACATTATTACCAAAAGGATCTGTCCTCAGTTTAATTATTTCAGCAATAATTTTAAAGGTACAGAGGCCTGCATAATTGCAATTAGATTAATCTGAGAAACAGTCTGTTTTCTGTTCATATTTTCCTTTTACAAAATGAAGAATTGAAAAAATTATGCATGAGATATGTGAAGCATTTACTTGGGGAGCATAAATTTTGACAAGGTAATAATCATCTTGTAAGTCTCTTGTAAAAGTTCATATGTAGCAGGAAGATATGTCCTTGTAATTGTAAAATAAATTTTCAAAATGCTACATTGGGCTCTTTTGATATGTGAGTTCAAGGGTGGCTTAATGGTCCTCATCAAATCTGAAATATAACAACGTGGTTTTATGGACCCATATGAACTAAAACAGAGGTCTGGACATTTATTAAAATAAAAATGTTTTACCCTTCCTCTTTATAGACTGTTGCCATAGTTTTAAAACAGGTTCTGTACTTGATCTCTCCAGGAACTGGCTGTGGTCCTTGAATCCTACTTTTTGCAACATCAAAAGGAATGTTAATAATTGAGGCTATTGTTCCTGAGAACAGCCCAATTCCAAATTTCCTCAAAAACTCCAAATTTGGATCCTACAAAAAAAAAAAAAAAAAAAAGAGGAAAGAAAGAATAAAAAGGGAAACGGAAAGACCTGTGCAGGTTAAGCACTAGAAAGTAATAAGCATTTAATCAGAAAACTCACACAACCCACTCGTGTTATTTTAGCGGAACACATTAGGATTTCCTATGCTGGAACTTGTTTTCTTGACAATCCTATTGGCTATGTTTTTACACATGGTCTAAATTGCTGAAGTACACATTTCCTCACACAGGATTTATAAACACAGTTCATAAAGAAAGACTGGTATGGCATATGGGGATGATTTGTATAATTGGGCTTCACAATGTACTTAGTATTACTGTATCAAAACAGGAGAAATCCAAGCACACTATTAGCTAATTGGCCAGAATATTTTACAAATGACAGCAACTTCCACCATGAAGCCTACTAAAACACTCATTTGTGTGTTGGACCCCCAAATGCTAAATTAAATAAAGACTAATCTCAGTCTGCTGCCATTCCCCTCCAGGTTTTTTACATTTATTTTCACATGTAGCTGATCCACTGTACTGAGAAGTGCTAGCTTCCTGTTATTAACAATCCAACTCGGCACAACGGCAAGAGAGCCTCCACGTTCTGCGCATTATAAACGGTGGTAATTCACTCAGCTAATTGGCTGAAGAATTTACAACAGATTGTTTCTGAACCCTACTATAAGCACACGGGAAAAGTTAGAAGTGGGTTAGAAGTGCATCTAAAAACTTCTTTGCTCACTCACAGTTCACCGTTCAACTGGGTTTTATTTGATCTTTTAGAAAGACCTCCTACTTTGGCATTTCTATGACTTCAAAGAACGCAGAGTTTATCTGGGAGTCAAAGTCCCTTGAAGCAGGTTTAATCTTATTTCTGTAAGTAGTGGAAGTCATAGGGAAGTGTGTTCCAGAACATTTCCTATGCACATAATTTGGTTTTGCTATCGGTTTTCAACAGAAGGACACTTTTTTTGCTACGTCAGATTCTTTATGTGCAGCTTACTTCTGTCATGAAGGTGCTTTAATTATAGAAAATCGTCATTGAAGTAACAAATGATCTTGCTGTGTTAGAACATCAGCACAATGTTAAAATAAGACAGCTTTTTTATTTCCTAAACCCCCGTGTTTTTAAATGGAAAAGAAACCAAGAAAGAAGCTTTCATTTCCTGATTAGCAACAAGAAAAATAAGTTAAAACTTCCATAATATACACTGGATGATGCCCATACAGGTGCTAAGAAAGAAATGTCAAAATCAATAGAGCTCTTTATTACTTGCAGAAAAACTCAATACCTTGATTTCACAAAACATGAAACATACTGATAATAAGCAAATTATAATCACTTGTGGTACAAGAATTGTAGCCCTTTTTAGCAAAGATCTTAGCAAAAAAAATTCTGTTCATTCTGTACATACAGTGATTTAAATGCAAATAGAATAAAGCCAATGTTTCTGGTATCTAGAGAAGAAAAGAAGACCCCTTTTGAAACTTTGCCCATTCACAAAACTGGACTTTAACCAAATGTACCATAGTCAACACCAGCGTTGCTATAACTTGATTTTTTTTTTTTTATCATAAACCTCATAAGAAAGGCTTTTCTATGAAATTCATCACTGTAATATATGGGAAATTTCATTAGTATAAAGAATCAATATAAATTTAGGTGTCAAAAAATTAAAACTAATTTTTTTTCTAAAAGCAGAGCTTAGTGGGTCTGAGGTTATTCCACTACTCATTCTGATCCAGTCTTCTCCTAAATCACCTTGGCTTACTATTTCTTCAAGTCCATTGCACCACATCCACTTTTCACTTTTCTCTCTATTCCTACATAGAACTTCTACATTGGCATGGATCTGAAAGGTACTAAAATAAAATTATTGTCTTCCCTTTTACTTTCTCACCAAGCTGAACAGCCCATTTGGGTTTCCCCACCTCTTCCTTGCCTCCAGAAGTTCAGAGCCCCTTTGTCTTACAAGACCATGCATTCTCAGCACCCCTGGTGGGATGCAGCTGCCCTTGTAAGAGGAGGCACATCTGCAGCAGCTGGGGCTGCCAGTGCCCAGCTTGAAATGGGTCTTGCAGTTGGCCACATTTCCAAGGGGGCTTTTAGCAGGTGTGAGGAAATTTCATACTGTTAAGAAATGTGGCAGCCACTTGGAGGAGGCAGTGAGCAAAGGTTCTAACAAAACTAATGTTTAAAAGCAAATCTAATTACGATAAAAAATTGCAAAGTGAAAGCTGCTGGACACCTATAAATGCGCTATAAATGTAGATGCCATTTGCAAAATTTCATTGCTAGGGCAGAGGCATAGCTGCTAATTCTCTATGGTTGGTACATTAGTGGCCATTGAAAAAAATTTGGCTTATTCCATTTTCAGTAAACAGAGCACAAGGTTGGCTGCAAATGGTCTGTTTAGCAGAATAGACTGAAAAATAGGAAAAATTATTTATTATGGACATTTAAAACATCGCCCCAACCAACAAGATTTTTTGTTTTTGGCAAAATGGGAAGCAAACATCCCTAACTGGAATGCAAATTTAATGCATAGTTTAGCTGACAGCTAAAAGGCTCATTCAGAGATTTTCATACATTTTCCACTTATGTTACAGATGGTGGACAGCAAATACATAGTCAATAGTCAAAATTATTTTACAAGTGTAGTATTCTTATTTCACAATTTTTCTATATTATAATTTTTATATATTTGTCAATATTACAAGATTTGCTTTAAGACTTTCTTTTCTGGTAAAATATACAAAAATAGTGAACTAGATTTTGTAATGAAATCAAGTATGTGAGAAATCTAGACAAATTAACAACTGTTTAATATTTTTCAGACTAACTGCAGTCCAGCTTCTACCAAATTCCTGGTACAGGTTTGATAACTCTAAGCCTCTAGTACCTGCCCACTGACAGAAGAGGTTTAAGTTATAGGTCATAAATTATTTTTAAATACTTCCATTTAGCAGTCACTGAAATTCAGTGCATGTACCTGAGACACAATGATGGCCTGCACCGGCCAGATGAGGCCTGATCTATGTCTTCTTAAATTCAGGCTAAGTTTTGCATTGATTTTAATGGGATCCCATTAATAGAATTATTAAAATTATTGGCTGTATCTCTCTGTACAGCCTGTCTGTGGCACTGATGCTGGCTGGCCTAGAGTCCACGTAGCTCTATTAGCACTACAGAATGCTGTCAAATTCAAAACAGACTGGCTGCATTCTGTCAGTTGGAATGAATATTTTGATTCATTTATTTGACTGATATTTAATACATTTTCTCAAGAAATTGAAAAATGGGAAGAGAAAGCTCATTAGGAAGGGTTCCTTGCCTTGCCTGGCTCCCAAGCCCCACCCAGGCACTGTGCCAGGGGAAGTTCAGCAGTACAGGTGGCTGAGTTCCAGGGCTGCTCCTGCATTTACTAGCACAGATAGAAGCCACTGTGGAAGCCACCAAATCAAGCACAAGGCAAACATCTCCACTTATTAGCAGTTAACCCCACGCTGATTAAATTGCCTTTTGATTTTGCTAATATTTGAGGACAGCTCGGCCACTGGCTGACATTGAAGAAATTTCCCTTTTGTTTTCTACATATATTTAAACCATGTCATAGATGTTAAAATTTTTCTGCATCATACAAAATCTGTAGGAATTACTAATTTCCTTTATATCATAAAACTCTGAATCTTTCTAATAATATAATACTTGCTTCCTATTTTTTAAAATCTGAAATCAAGAAAAGTATGCTTATGCCAAATATTATTACTATTCAATTCCTATGCAAGAACATTAGCCATGATTCCCATAGAAGCTGCATGCTAGTTTCTGTCCTTACTTGCATATTTTCCTGAACTTTCTTCTAACAGTGATTATAATTTTTAAATCTTTTGATCAACACAAAAATGTTTACCCCATCTTAGTAACAAGCTATGCTTGTGCCTTGAGTTTTTAGAATGTGTGACTAAAGTACACTGTATAAAATATGCTTAGATATACTGTAAGAAACTTGTAGAAACTTGTGGGTCAGCCACTCTTGAACAATTCAATTTACTGTAATAATCTGTAAATAAGAAATGGAGCTTTTCTTCATTTACACAACGCTGCCAACAAAAATACCAGGCTACTCAGAAGTGCAGGAAAAAAAGAGGTGTTACTTCATCTGGGAATAGAAACCGATCCCTTTTGATGTGAATTGCACCTTCTTACATGTATATTACTACAAATTACACCTGTGACTGTTTAACTGTCATCATCTAAAAATCACATCAGTGAAAACAGACTGCAGTAAGTAGCATACTGGAATCATTAATAAACCATGAGTTGTTTCTCACACAGTCATTTAGAAAGTTGCTGTTACCACATTTTCATTAGTAAAATTTCCTTTGTTGTAAAGGGAATGCTTTCTTCCTTTGTTATTTAAAGTAATATAGGACTAGCAACATTTCTTTAAGTGAAATGACAGCTATAATGATTTTTTTCTTTAATTATAAGTGATATAAAGTTCCTGTACTTGACCCTTTACATCCTGTTTTGGACTGTCTCACTCCCATAAGGATGAAACTTCCCTGTCATCCTTCAATACTAGGTTGAACTCGCTTTTTGAGTAAATAGGTCCAGTGCCTGGCCAGAATAACCTAGATACTGCAGCGTGGCCATCTCTGCAGCTTAGCCCCTTTGTGAATATTGACAGAAGTTCTAGAAACTGGTTTTTCTCTTCTAAGCCAGTTTTCCCCAAAGAAAGTACATACATACCCAACATAAGCACAACATGTCTGTATCCCATTTGCTGCCTTTTCGCACTACTACCATGCTATAAAGGGAAATTAATAAAAATGATAATTCAAATATGACCATGCTCAGCTTTGCTTAAAAAGTGAGAAGATCAAGTCCTTGATTTTCTTCCAATAAAATGCTATGGATCTCTGCAAAACAGGGCTAGGTTAGTCACTGTATATCACTAAATACCACAGCTTTGCACAGAAAAATAAAGTATGAATTAAAATGTCAAACTTCTTATCTGATTGTCTATTGCATTGTATGAAGAACTTACTTTATTGACTGGAAGAATGTTTTTCACATTGAAGTAGAATCCAAAGTAAACCATGTTAAAAACTCCGTGACGGCCCAGTGTTGCAGTAAGGCCTTTGTTGAGTCCTTGGAAGCCCAGACCACCAGTTTTAATGATCTGCTGAGCTTGAACAAAGCTAGATGGTTGCTACACAAGCAAAAGAAGGAAGAGATCATCTTTACAAAAAGAAAACAATAAACATAGCATCATTTCCATCCTGTTGACAAAGACAGTCCTGCCAATTCTTGTAATTTTATATTAAGTACCACTGTATTTGTTATTTTCCCTTTCCTGTGACCGTATAAAAATCACAATGAAAAAAATGAATTTTTTAATGAAAAAAAGATTCTCCATTTTTCTTATTGCTGAATAAGATGAAAGCAGGACTCGAGTACTGTAAAAGAATAGTACTGTAACAGATTTCCATTTTATAAAAGGCAAAAGGGAAGAAACTGCCTCATATCAGATAGCATCTGCCTGACTACATATACCTTTGATCTTTTTTTGAATATACTGTGAAATTCAGAATTAGTATTCCCCTTCTGAATATTTTACATTTTTTTTAGCAGCATTATAGAAGTATTGCTTTCCAAAAGTTGTTGAATAGAGTTTGGCTTTCTCTAAAGCATAAAGCCAAAAAAACCCATAAAGCCATAAAGCTCTGGGTAGCCAAATCTATAATTAGAAAGGCAAAACATGACTTCCACTAGGAGGTTCAAACATGAAAATATAGAAGAATTTTGACTACACCACTGTGAAAACCACTGATTTCAATACACTTATTTGTTTAATAGCTTTCCATTTCAAAATATCACCATGGTAGATCAACAGCATCAGCCAAATGATGCTTCTATATCTGACACAGCATATGACAGCTTATTGAGGTGACTGACAAGTTTCATCTTTAATACAGAGTTTCATTCTGGTTTTTTCATATTTAATAACAAATATTCTGTTAATGCTCTGCATATATTTTACCAGAGTTTACTTTTCTATCTACTCCCAAGAATTCAAGTCAGAATCTGTTCTAAAATGGAGATACTAAACAAGGATACTATCAATAACATCCTTTTTTGTGCTCCAAAAATGGACATTAGATCTTTAAGAAATCATACAGCAACCTTCAACATTAAGGTATCCCTTGGTATCCCTCTTCTTGAATATGGATTTTCTCGTGATTCACAGGGCAAGCCCGTCACTTGCTGAACACCTGAGATGGGATTTATAAGTCCAAATACAGACACCTGCAATGTCTACACCTGACTTCCCTTTTCAGTCCTTTAGTAACAAAGAGGACTCTCTCTGGCAGCATTTCCCTTTTACCAAAGGAGGTGCCATCATGTCAACTGATCAAGCCATAGAAGGGCTGTGGTTCATCACTGATGATGGAAGGACCTTAGACAGAGGAATTTATTGTACAAACATCTGGAGTTAATGCACTTCACACAGCTGTTGACTTTTACTTGATATAGACCTACTCAGTGGAACCTGGAGTCAGATTCTTCTCATCATAAAGCAGAAAATTGTATTTGTTTAATTGATCATGACTCTTGTGTCAGGTGAGAAGATTTTAATCATCATACCAGCTTCTACAGTCAGTGAATTATCCAGGGCTGCAGGGAAAGGGGGGGGAAAAAAAAGGAAAACCAAACAACATGGTGTAGGGCTTCTTGCAGTTTACTTTAACAAAAAGCCACCATTATTTTTACCCAGAGCTATCCACATTACAAAAGGGCTGATACGTGATTTATAGTGGCCTTCCTCTTTAAATCTATCAGCCCTGGAAAGATGATCTGCTCCCACAGAACAATTCAGCTGTCACCGCAGGGTGTGAATATTTGCTTTGGGGGTGTGCAGGAGTCTGGGTGTGAGTGTATGTGTTCATGCTCTTCCTTGTTCCTTTTAAACAAGATATATTTATTATTTCTATACAATAGTCAAAGAAATATGTGAACTGCATTAGGTTTCATCATGTAGCATGAAAGCTCCACAATGGGATAGGTACACACTTTACTTAAACCTTTTAGAAAAACAGTGCACGGTAATGCCTTATGCTGTATAATATAACCTCTGGACATGCTTCTTCCAATGGGCTTGAGTTTGCATGCTTTATTGTGGAATGTTCTTTAACATTTTCTTAATGAGAACTTGACGTCAAGGTATAAGGCCACTGGAGTTTTTCCTAATTTATAGCAAGTTTTGAAGTTCTAACACTTTAAAAAGATATATTAAAAACTAATGTGTCTGTGATATAACAGTCTTTATGATTTTAGAACTTAATTTCCATTGGATTTTTTTTCCCTAGAGGTAGTAGTTAATATTTTCAATGTAAACTAGGTTTCTAGTAGAGCCCAAATACCATTTTATGGTATTTTGTGAAACTTCGCATTTAAATTAAATTAGAGAATATTCACCTGAACAAAAACAACTCAGAATGCTTTAGGACAGCTACAGTTTGATTATTGCATTATTCTGAAGGTCACCAAGGAAGAGATGCTGTAACTATAGGAAGTAATTGGCTAAAATTTATAAACTAAACCACCCCAGACTTCATTAGAAATTTTGCAGTAGAGAAAAAATTAAAATGTATGAAGTGAAACAATACATCGGTCTTTTGCAACTTTAGAAGGAATAGTTTATTCAAAATATAACAGTGGTTTGTCTCTACTTAAAAGCAGAGCATTTTTAAAGTTAGGATAATTACATCTTTACAACAGTGAAGCAGAAAGACCCAGAATATCTGCTTAGTTCACTACTGCTGGAACAGTAATAGTTCACAATTTTTATCACATCATCTTCTTGAGAGACAGATCCTCTCACGCATTGCTTTTTCCTACTTTCAGTTTCTCTTCTTCCAGGATCCTAAATATTTTACTCCTCCTCTGCATTATTTATCGGTTTAGTGGCTTTGCTGCCCAAGTTTAAAAAACGTCTAGACTGGAGACTTGCAGCAAATAAACATGTCTTTCATATGCATTAAGAATCAAACAGGAGTTTACCAAACATTTTAAAATTTATTCTGGAAGAAAATGCTTTTCTGGATGAGTTATGGAATAGGCACCAGTTACTCTGTGGCACTTGGAAATCAGTAGCTGCATTTTTCCAGCGTGTACCTGAGGAGCTTGGCCCAAACAGATTATGTAAATGGCCAGGCCATAAATCTCTTTACTGTGCATACCCCAAAAGTGTTCAGTTTGTGTAGATGAGTGCTACGAGGCAGTAGGTTACAAGGCAAGTATTAACTCAGTCAAAACTTAATAGTAGAATATACAAAAATCATGTCCCACCAGGGATTCAGCCAACCTTTTCATGTGATGCTTATGTGATTTGGCACTACTACCATGGTGCAGATAATTTCTCAAAGATTTTTAAAAAGATGATTTGACAATTGTTATTTTTATTCAATGAGAAAAAAAAAAGGAACTATATTACTACCTTCCTTCCCTTTTTCCTGGAATATCTTCTGCATTAAAATTAATAGAAGCTAGTGCATTCCTGAGAATACTTGATTTTCATGAATCACTTTTTTCCAGTTTAATCTTTTTTCCCTCTCAACAGTACCCAGACTCATGGGCACTGTTTTGCACAACGACTTCTTTGGATGAAACAATATTTCAATAAAAAACTCTGAAGTGAAGTAAGAATTTAAATTATCAATGTACTTGTTATATAACAATTTTCCAGCTTGTGCTAATAAAAGTGAAGTCTTCTAAGTAAATTCATCCAAGAAGCATAGTGTAAACTAGACTCTGTCTGGGGCACAGGGCTGTGGTGTTTTGTGCTAACCTTTGGTGCTTGCTTGAGGTCTGGAGCCTGCTGGGTAAATGTGCTGTGTACAGGGGGCTCAGGTTTGTACTCCTGGGTTACAATTCCTCACAGTGCTGGGTTGCTGGTTGCTCGGGAGGGATGGAGGCGCATTTCAGGCACAGAACACTTACAGTGGAGATGCTGATGTTCTGGAAATTCTGCATACATTTCTACATATCTGAATTGGGTCTATTGGGTCTCTTCTGTTTCTGTTAAGCTTGTGGGAAAATCATTTACATCCGCCAATCTATTATAGACATTCTGCTCTCAATACAAACCTCGAAGTGCATTATTCCCAATATGGTGGAAAAAGGAGAAGGAAGCAGTTTTCCTACCTCTGTGAAGGTGCTCTTATTGGTCTGTAAGGTAACCTTCACTACTTCAAATGGGTTAACCACAACTGCCTCTGTCAACCCAGATCCCAAGCCAGCAACTGCAAATGCCTAGGAAAGTTCAAATGAAAATGAAATATTAAGGAGTAATACTTCCTCTGCATCAGATTGTGAAACTGAGGGATACAATGCAAACTGCAAGACTACAGCAATGCAGCGGTATTCTATTGCTAAACAACTTTAGCTCTTGAGTAGATGCTGACAGTTCATGAAGACAATATGACAATAGCCATAAACCATACTCCAAAACAATCAAAACAAATATCATAGCACGCCATGTCCATGTATTCTCTTTTCAGCTGGAAGGGAAAATGTGGTACCAAATTATTACGCAAACATGGAAAAAGGGGAAAAAGAATGTCCTCATGTTATCTTTGGGTGGACTCTGAATAATAACACAAATGTAAGTGTAGTTATGCAGCGCTGGAAAAAAGAAAATCTCTGAACTGAGCATTAAGCACATAACACTAACAAATTGACTTAAAAAATACATGTAAAAAACTGAAATAGTTCAGTACTCAAGCAAATTAAACAAGTAGAATGTTCACTTAGTAGTTAACAATCCTAGAAAGGTTCATATGGGAATGAGTGGCACAAAGAGAAATGTCAGCATTCATTGCAAGGATGAAGTAACTCCATTTACTTAGGTGCTGGTGGCATTTCATTCATAGATATGGAGATATTCACTGCTTTGCTTTCCATCATGGCACAGTATTTTAAGATACTTTAATTTGTTCTTAACAAAAACCAAAATATTTAGGTCAATTGAGAAAACTCAGAGGGGTTAAATTTAATGAATTAATGTGATTTACACATTAATTGCTTTCACTTAACATCCTCAAACTCTCTAGGTGCTGGAAAAAAGTTCCAGGACAAAAATACATTATAATGAGTACATTTGCTGAAATTCAATGACATCGATAGTATGGGAATAAACAATAGCGAGAAAAAACTTATTTAACCCAGAGGGATTTGAGCAGGCACTCCTGAGAGCTCAAGAGAGGAATGGAAAGTTAGAAGGGTAGTGGCAAACTCCAGTCTTACTGTGTTGGAGAAGATTGTGTTAAAATTTGTTTTCCCAGTAAGATGGGAACACTTCGTCATCGACCATGAGACTGAAGCCAGTAGGAAGATGGTGCTAATGTATGCATCTGTCTTTTGATAATAAATATTGCCTTGATATGAGGTCTGTTGAGGTACCTAGAAACATTCTGCTTGGCTTAGACCAGAATCCCCCTCAGTCTTTTTTTCCCTCACTACCTTAGGACAAAAAATGCCTCTATAGTAACAGTGCTGCATCAAAAATGTGAGGACTTTCTGATTTGTGAGGGGGTTCTAAGCATTGCTGTATCTGTTCAGAGCAGCTTTTGGGCAGCTATTGCATGTTTAAAGGTTTTCAGCCTATTTTTCTTCCCCTCAAAAAAGTACCACAGAACCTTCAACTCTGTTCTTTCCACTTCCTAGAGAACAAGTATCAGTGTCTCTATATACGCCTAAGGACGAGAACTGCAGAAAAATACCAGATAAAATAGGAGAGACTGCAAACAGCTATAGAGCCAGTGGGATAAATAAGAGGGAGAAGAAACATGCTTTAACCTAGTTAATAGAATTCTATGGCCATTTACTCACTGCAATTAAAGGGAGATGTAAATGGAAGCAATTTGAAACTGAAATTGCCAAAACCTTTATGGTACAGCCTTAAAAAGATCAATTGTTTCCTAAAGTTGTGATTTCATCATTGTGAAAAATACATTCTTACAGCACAGGAAGCAGTAGTTCTTATAGAAAATATTTTACTTCTAATGCACAGTAGCAGAAGTAAGATCCACACATAAGAATGCATGCGTACACCCTACATCTTGGCATTAAAACAGTGTATATGTATAATTCTGTGTATATGTATGCCCTACATTTTGTTTTTAAAACAGTTATTTCTTGAGATTAATTCCTAACTCCACTGATGGACAAGAGTGTTTTGACATTTACTTCAAAGGAAATAGCAATTACTTATCAATAACTTTTCTTTTATAAAGTTTTTAAAATAAGACAGGCATCTGTATTTTTGTTATAGTTGCCCTGTGCCTTGGAGAATAGCTCTTTGAAGTGTTGAACTAGACACTATGACATGAAAATAAATAAATAATGATAATCAACTATTTTGGTTATTTTGTAAGAATGAAGAATGACAAGTTGTATACAGACTTTCCACGGTGGTTGTCATTACCCATGTTAATGAGTGTTATGACATTGTATGGAATTATTTTGAGGACATTTGATATAAAACATAATTTATCAATTTTGATAAATTCTTATCAATGTTTTTGATATGAAACATAATTTATAAATTTTGATAAATTCTTATCAATGTTTTCAAGTGACGAGTCTGTTTTGAAAAACTCTGGATTGAGCTGGACCATTTAATTTTGGGTTTCTTCTGTAGGAGGAAGCAGATGAGACAGACTGTTCAGCAGACACATACTACAGTAGAACATGAAGTTCTGCACATACATACATACATACACACATACCAGTCCTGGGGGCAATGACACATATCCCAGTAGCTTCTTGTATTGTTCGAAGGTAAAAAACTGTGAATAGAAGTCAGATTGAAATTGAATTTAAAAAAAAATTATTAGTTACTTATGCAAATTAGTAGAAAGCGGACTACAATGGAGATTCATTATCTTGAGCAGCTGCAGGCAGTTCTGCAAAATAAATGTAAGCCATTTTTATTTCACACCCTCTGTAGCAGTGTTAGACGTGCAAGAGTAGACAACCAGGCTTCATAACTGATTTTATTAACGTGTCATGCATAATAGAAGCATAAGTGCAATTCAAGTAATGCTTTATCTAAAGTTCACTTACATCATATAGGACATATTTTAAAATTACAAACTTTTCCTTTTACATTAACTTTCACATACTAGCTTAAATGTTGTAGCAGATATTACAATTTTCCCAAGAGATCACCCCCATATCCTTGTTGTAATGTGCTGCAATCGCTTTTGCATTTCTCAAGCACTAGTCTGCCTCTCAGCAGAGAGATACAATTGTGCATTTTGAAGATGGAAGGTCTGTTACTTTTATAATCTTCTGCTGTCAATGGACACATTGCTGTTCTCTCCTTACAAATAAATCTTTCAGTCAATTGTCTGCTTTCAAACAGTAGCACTTTGAAGTGCTGAGCATCTGTAATTCCTTAGAGGATGTCTTGAAAGCTGTACTCTTGGGATTTTCAAGGAAGAAATAAGATCAGCTTCACCTGCACCAACTTGGTGAAAGGCAAACATTTGCTAATGTTTCATTTTACAGCCTACCATTTCTTGACACCCAAACCCATTAATTTTAAGAATACCTTCTGTGAGTTTTTATAAAAATCAAAGCTTAATTAATGAATGGATTTGTTCTTCCAAGAAGGTTTAGAATAACTCTGCACTGAAGTCAGTAGGAAGCTTTCAGTTGGCATAGGCAAACAGATTTTCGTTGCCTAGCTCCTTGTCTGTGGACATAAAGTCCAAGATGCATGGTCAAGATATACTCTAAAGAAAGAGTGTATGTGACATTTTACAAATTATTGAGAAGATTTCCTCTGAAATACAACATACAATCTAGGCCACTATTTTAAAAACAACAACTCACACTACATCATATTCAAAACAGGGCTACCAGGCCCATTAATGAGAACTTAGATATTATTTAAGAATGAAGAACGAAGGAGAATAAATGATTTCCTTTTTTAGTTTAGCAAAAGAGACACTACAAGAGAATGAAAAACAAGGAAGATACGTAGCACAAAGAAATTAAGTGTAAAAGCAAAATATAAGTAGAACGTGGTGGGAGATCTGATGAAGCTTTCTTGCAACTAAAAGAGTAGAGTCCTGAAACAGTCTTCCAGTAAGAACAATGAAGGTAAAATCTTTTTGACTTGTAGGGGAGAGTTTGATAAGTTTATGAAGGAACAAAATCCAGTTTATAATAATAAATAAATATATAAGCATAAATATATAATAAATAAATAAGTTTATAGAACAAAATCCAAAGTGTCTTAAATTCCTATTCTGCAAGCACATTGCTGAAGCCACTGAAAAAGCAGTCCAGTTGCTATCACATAAGACAGATCTGAGGGCAGTGAAAATGGTCTTCTAGCATGAGGATGGCAGAATTTGTGGGCTAAAAAGAGTAGGTATTTGAATTCTGGGTAAAACTAAAAAGATTGGAGGTGTTATTCCACATAATTTTCACACATGGAACAACACAAGTCTCTATTTGTGAGTCCTGTAATCTGCCTAAGAAGTATTCATGTTTTTGTATACAAAACAAAGTGGCTTTCACACAACATGACTGGTATGATGGGAATGAAGAACAAAAACCTGTCAGAGTTCCACCAAGACTGTAACAGTGCAGGTTCATATCTCCTAGTACAAGAGCTGTCACATCCCAGTCTAGCAAAATAGCCAGAACTTTTAACTTTCCTGTCTGCTTTCCAATGTTGACCTGTAACATTTGATCAGTTCAGAGCAAGCTGGTTCAAATGAAGGTGGGATCCTTGGAAAGTCTGTGAGAGGAGGCTACAATCCCTCCACACAGCATCTGCCCAAGCATGAGACAATAAAACTGCTGCACCATGAGAGGAAGGCAATGAGCAATGAGGCCAATGGAGATGTGGGAATCATAAGAAACATAAGGGGATAGAGTTTTTAAGACAAGACAGAAAGACTGTGTGGCCTGTGCTGAGTCTCAGCCAAAGAAGACAAGCTCTGTCCCTCACGGTTCAGTACAACAGACCTATCAGAACAAGACAGCTATTCCATAAACCACGTGGACAAGAACACAAGTAATGAGCACCACATTTTCATTTGAAGTTGTTTAGAACCTTTTTCCTATGGCAAAGTCAACAAAAGTTTTTTGATCAAGACCTTCTTCAAATGAAAAGTCACTGGAATCATACCAAAACCATCAGAGAATTGGGTGTTAATGTGTTAATAATGCCACTGTTTTAAAGCAAGAGGGAATATGTATATATAATGCAAAATTGGGTTGTTAAATTCTGAAAACTGATGGGCTGCTACTCTGACCACTGGACAGATATTTTTTTATATACACAGCTGGGAGTATTATATCATTTTGCAGAAAAGGTCCTAGAACTGGGGCTCAGATTTTAACTACCCTCCAAAGAGTGTAGAGCTTGAACATTAATCTTGCAAGCATCTTGAAAATGTGTTTAAAATTTTTGCATTGGCCTTGACAATAACCAAAAAAGATAGAAGTGTTATTTAAACTTTAGCTCCATCTTTTTTGGACAACTGAAGGTATAATATAGGTAAAAGTCTGACAAAGTGGGAGGGTAAGCTGCTTCACTGAACTAAATTAATTTCTTATTGTGATAAAATTTGCTTTATTCTCTTTCCAGAATCTTTCTAGTCATTGTTACCCTCTTAACCTTTAATGGAATTTCTGGTATTCCTTAATGTTTTCCATAGTGTTACAGATCTGTAAAATAGTTGTAATAAAGGCAGAATTACATTACCTAGCAATTTTTTTTTGTCTTTAAAATGTTACCTTAGAAATCAATAACTTCCTAGAGCCATAAATAAAATATCTACTTAAGAGTAACTATGCTTTAAATAATTTTTAAAAGAAAAAAAAAATCAATAGCAATAAAATTTAACATAAATGTTGCTAGGTGTACTAGAGTGGCTAGTACACATACAATTTTGCAAAAAAAGATTTCATATTGTATCATATGACTTCATATACTGTCCACCCAAAATGTTTTTAAAAACATGGCATAATTTGTCTTTTCCTCTACAGTTGTATTAAGTTAATAGCTTTGTGCAAAAAAAAATTTCTCAGAATAAACGTATTTAAAACATGCTTTTGTGTATATAATAACCAATATTGTCCATCTGGCAAAGATACACTTTAATTGAAGTTACACAGAAAATAGCCAAAGTACTTACCAGATGTCTCAATAACTCTAAGATAAAAATATATGCTTGAAACAAGATGTCTGGGAACACATGAGCAATATAAATTTGCCCCAAAAGTTCATCTGTTAACCATTGTATTGGCATCATCATTTCTTTCCTCCAAGTTCAATCTAACAGAAAGTTATAAACTTTGACTTTTCATCTTCCAGAAATACCAGCTTTCTTTTTAGAAGGGAAATAAAAAGAGAGAAAAAAAGAAATAGCAAGACAGACATGAGAACATAGTTGACTAAAAATGAAGCTGTATCTTCAACATTTAACTGAAAATCTGGAGCTAAATAACTTCATTTTAATAGCTTTATTTTTACTTGAAAAAACACACACCAGATAAATACAACGTTCTAGTAGCACAAGTACATTTCTTAGTACAAAATCTCCCTTGTCGATTCTCTACGCAGTTTTATGACACTATAACTAGAACCTTTCAAAAAAGTTCATTACAAACATAAAAAAACCTACTGGAACCTAGAAAATGAGTTTTTTCCTTTTGTGATTTCTCAAATCTCAGAATTATTGGCCTGAATATAGTCTTCCCCTAAATCTCAGTAGTCATTTAGGCAGCAGAGAAGGGAAAACTTGAGGCTTGTTCAGATGAGGACAACTCTTAGAAGAAAAAAAGGTTGGAGAGTGGGTCAAAGGAAGCAATAACTTTTCCTTTGGGGTCATAGCCAACTAAAGTTAGTGGAAATTTGAGGTAGGTTGGATTCTTTCCATGTCAAAGCATGGGTACAAATTCCACTTTGGATGTTAAAAATTGTACTGGCATATGACATCTCACAAGGAATTGTTTCATTATACAGGTCCTTACAAGGACACTATTGTTCAGCCCTGTTTGTCACTGAGTTGTTCTAATGTAGAATACAGCTGATATCTCAACGTAACTTAAAGTCATCCTGATGCCCTTGGGACAGCAGTAAATTTAAAGGAATGGTGTAAATAATAAAATAATTCAACTATTTAATTAAAATGCTCACATGCTTAACATTTAAGTTTGATTCTCATGTTTGCAGAACACTCAGCTCTCACATCAATGTCCAAGAACCAGGTAGAAACCATCCCACTAAGAGAGGACAAGTAAGACATTAATGGAGCTGTGAGCTTATGATGTACAAGAGTTTGAGAGAGCTGAGTCTGTTTAGCCTGGAGAAAAGAAAGGTAAGGTGATTTATTTCTGTCTTCCACCATCCAAAGTTTATACAGAAGAGAGTCAGACTTTCTCAGAGGCTGACAATGGAAGTGTGAGAGGCAGCACACAATGGCTGCAACAGGAGGATTTGGACTGGATATAAGGCAAAACTCTTCACAGTAAAACAGTTAAGAACTGGAGGAGGAGCACAGAGAGTCTGCAGTCTCCATCCTTTAAGATTTCAGAACTCAACTAGACAAGGCAACAACCTGCTCTAACCCTGAAGCCAGCTCTACTTTGATTAGAGACCTCTCCCAACTCAACATCTTTTTATGATTCTATAATTATATTGAATATTTAAGACAATTTAATCAATTTGAGTAAAGGAAAGTGATTTGAAGTTTATGAATGACTCAAATTGGTAGGAGAAATCAAATGTGGGTTACTATTTTAACTAAATACATGCTAGAATCTAAAAAGAACAGCCAGATCTACTTGATACACTTTATCCTGTTTCAAATGAAAATAAATGGAGAGACAGAGGAAACATCACAATATGAAGAAAACGAGTTATTAGGAATCTTCTAAATATCATCCATCTATTCTTCACTGCCACTTTTCCATTAAACAGGAATTTAGTTTTCTTGGTTTTATTAAATAATTTTGAGATAAGTGACATATGTCACTTGCATCTAAAATGCCAGTGCAAACAAGAAGATGACATTACCAGAGCTCCTTTAGGATTCTGTTACAAGGTCACATCCTGTCACTTTATACAAATATTATTCCTCTGTAAAGGAATTGGAATGTGAATGATTAATTGCAGACTAAGGACCAGAATCATATGCAGCCTTCTTAGAAAAAAACAACAAAAAGAACGGGAAAATCAAGACATTCTGTATAATAACTGCTTTTAGACACATTTGGTGCAACTATAGAAACTTCAAAGTTCTGAAGTAAAAGACTAAGAAACATTTAGACTTAATGTAATAGCTGCTTTGATAGATTTAGAACTTTAGGATGATGTGCTTAATAATTAAGTTTTAATTAAAAAGGTTGAATTGCTCAACTGAAAAAATTGATGTATTGAAGTATTTTGCTTAGGAATATTACTAAAATCATGTTCTACAAATCAAAATAAAGGATAATAAAGGAAAATCAGATCAGCATTTGACAGAAAATGCACTTTGATAGGCTAGCATTTATAACTGTAAGAGAGCTGGGGTGAAATGTTTTGCACAATTAGGAGCTTTATCCATTATGATCTTCAGTCTCTTTGAAAGTTACTCTATGGAGCAGAGTGCTCTTCGGAGCTTTCGTTGGAGCACAAGAAAACTCCGGGCAGCACTTCAAACCTACTAAATAAGTACTTATTAGTGGCTTCTTTAATGGCTTTTTGTGTTAATTTATTAAGCTGTTAGTTGTTTTGCAAGTTGCTAGGCATTTTCAGTAAAACAAAATATGTAAACCAGAGGCAATTATGAGGCTAAAATATAGCTTAAACTATTTTATTAATTGCGACAATATAAAATAATTGCTATTTATTTTTTCAGTAGCTTTTGATACACAGGTCGAAATTAGCTTAAGATTTACGAGCCTTATCCTACACTTCTTAATCAAGGACAGTTTTTATTGTGCTATCAACAGGAAACTTTCCTCCTAATAAACATCAGAGGATTAACATGCCAAATAAGTTTAAGATTCTAATCTCAGTCAGTGGGGGCGAAATAAAATGTTTTACAGCTGCCACTGTCCCTACTTATATTTTTAAGGGAGGAAGCATGGGGTTTTTACCTTCACCGCCCTTTTGGGTGTCTCAGCCAAGACAGGAGGAAGTATTCCTTTGTAGAAGCCGAGTAATCTATCAAAGAAAAAAAAAGAAATTATTTTTGTGCGGATAAACAACATATCAATGCCATACTACCAATTCTATTTTAGCTTTTGAGTAAAGCAGCTAACCTCTCAGCATTTCCAGGCATACAGACAAATAATGATACTCTCTGCTCACTAAACAACTAATGTGCTACCAATTATATCATATGCTGGAGAGATGATATAAAGAAATCAGCAATGAATATGTAAAAATAATTTTTTTTTCTGAAATACAAGAAATTGTATTCAAAAGGTAAGGAACATTTTTGAAAATGAAAAAGAAGTATTATTTCATTGTTTTAATTTGCTTAGAACAACAATGTTTATATTAAAAACTGAAGTCAAAATTACAAAATACAGATTTGGCAAAAAACTGTGGCTTCAACAAGTTGCATACAAAAACACTGCTTGCTCATCTTCAGATGCGTTCATCTATCTTCAGATAGTTCAGACATATTTTAAAGTTTAGTTTTAAGCATGACTCAAAATGTACAAAGATTTTTCTTTTAACAACTCAGTTTTAAGTCCAGTTACCTACATATATACAGCCTGCTACATGCCAGCACACGTGGCATTTACAGAGCCTGAGCTCTGCTTGCAAGGTCAGTGTAGATACATAATGCTGGGTCTCTGGAATGCTTTAAATGACAAGCAGCTTTCAAAATCCCCATGTGGGGCAGAAATAGACAGTCCTTGTCTGCTAGGTCTGCACACTAACCTGGACAGAGCATGGTGAGGATTCAGAAAGGGATCTTGTGGAATCACCAAGAAGAATAATAAAATTATCAAGGTTGGAAGAGACCTTCAAGATCACCCAGTCCAACCATCAACCCAACACTATCACTGTTAGCTCTAAAGCACTAAACCACATCACCCAGTGCCAGACCCAGATGCCTCTTGACCACCTCCAGGGATGGTGACTCCACCACCTTTCTGGAAAAACTATTCCAATGTCTGAACACCCTAACAGTGAAAAAAACCCTTTTCAATATCTAATTTGCATTGTCCCTGTCTTAGCTTACAGTCATAAGTTACCTTATTAGCCAACAAGAATATATCCTACAATTTATCCATCTTCAGAATGTATACACATTTATTTAGGACTGTTAGAGGATTCTGTCTACACACAAAAAAAAAATACTTAAAGCAAAACATTTGTGTTTTTTTAAATGTTGAAAGGTGGTGATGTTGGAATGTGATGATTCACCTTTCTAAAGCAGCCTACTCTTTAGAATACTTTTGCAGAGTGTGTAAGAGACATGACATCAACAGATTCTCCTATAGTTAATCTCTACATGTCAAAACAAAAGAAAACAACGAAATTCATATTCCCCACGTGAATTTAAAATACTACAAATGCTATACCATTTTCCCCATTCTTCAAATGCTTCTCTGGAGTTCGCTGCTTAGGCTTCTCCAATATAAATAAAATAATTTAGGCTTTGTAAGATGCTGTGGTTTGGGCATATTGCTTATCCTTACTCTGATGAAAGCAATGTGTAAAATCCAGACCATGACAAAAGGACACTTTGAGCATTTAACACAGTGATGGTTTCATGACAAAATACTGAAAGGTAGGAGATTAAGGAATTCAGTTGTCATCAGATGTTTAAATTTCCCCAAAGTCTTGCCTTCCAAACAAATATACAAATATATATTTATTATCTATTAATATAGATATGGATATACCAGTAGATACCTATATATATGGATATAATAATATAAGTGTGCTGGATCCATAGAATTATACAATCATAGAAACATAGAATGGTTTGGCTGGAAGGGACCTTAAAATTATTTAGTTCCAACCTTCCTGCCATAAGCAGAAAATCTTTCACTGCGTCCCATCCAGCCTGGTCTTGGTCTTTATTCTTAGTCCTGGGCTCGTTTTAGCCTTTAATGGTTCATACAAATTCAGAGCATATTGCTGATTCAACAAGCAATTGAAATATCAAATAACTTCAAGAAGGTGATTCATACATTTTAATGTGAATTCAAACTGAAACTGAGGTCCAAGTAGGATCAGCTACAAGAACACAGATCCCTGTGAACACTTTCTTCCTTTCAGCTCAGTCTAAACCCCTGAAAGCATATCTTCAACAGGCATCCTGCTTGCAATTTCTACTACTCCACATGATTGGAATAGGAAAAATAATGTCCTCCACTGCTTTACTCACTGGCATAGCTCTCACTACAAAAAGTGAGACTCAGTCTTGGTCTGCATTTTTTCATTAGCAAGAGATGCATAAGCAGACAAATATTCAGTGTAGACAAATCAGTTTTAAGAACACACAGCAGTATTACCCAGCCTTACACAGTACAACACGTTCCTTTTCCAGGCTGCCTTTTTGTATACTCAAAATGCATGCAGCTATTGGATAGATAAACCTTGTAACATTTCCATAGTCTCTGAGGATCTCAGAGAAGGATTTCAGAGCGAATGTGGAGAGGAAGGATATACTAGGAACTTTAGCAATACATTTGTCATTTTAGCATTAATCTTTTAAGGCAGGTAGTAGCTTCTAAAGAGCAATCCAGCATTACACCACAAGTCAATGTCGAAATACCAGTAATTCAGGTCACCATTAGACCAGGCAATGGATTATTTGAAAGTTCTAAAGAAATAATAAGATAATTATAAAGATAATAAGATAATAAAGAAATAGGAACTGAAAATATGAAAAGCAATTATCCATTGCTTCTGAATCACAGGAAGGTTGAAGATGAAGGGGACCTCTCAAGGTCAACTGACCCAAACCTTTGCTCATGAAGGGCCACTTAGAGCCAGTTGTCCAGGACCATGTCCAGACAGCTTCTAAGTATCTTTAAAGAACGACCACCCTTTAAAGAAGGAGATCCCACAACTTTTCTGGGCAGCCTGTGCCAGTGCTCTGTTACCCTCACAGTAGAAATGCATTTCCTGATGTTCATATGGACCCCTTTGTGCTTCACTTTGTGTTCATTACCTCTGGTCCTGTCACTGAGCACCACTGAGAAGAGCTTGGCTTCATCCCCTTTGCACCCTTCCTTTAGTACTTGTGCACATTGTTCAGATTCCCCTCTGAGCCTTCTTTCCTCCAAACATTTCTGTCTCTCCCATATGAAAGATGCTCCAGTCCTTTAATCATTTTAGTGGCCCTTCACCCAAACTCTTTGTGTTATGTCCATGTGTCTCTTGTACTGGGGAGCCCAGAATGACCAAGCGCTCCAACTGCGGTCTACCAGTGCTGAGTAGGGGGAAAGGAAGCAAACACATTCCTTGAGCTGCTGGCAGCTAAAGCAGCCTGCTAAAGCAGCCCAGTAGTCCCTTTGGTTGCAGGCCATATTGCTAGCTCATGCCCAGCTTGGTGTCCATGAGGACCTGCAGGTCCTATGCTGCAAATCTGCTTTCCAGCTGATTGGCCCTGAATGTAATACTGGTGTGTGGGATTACTCTTCCTCATGTACAGGGCTTCACACTTCCCCTTGTTGAACTTCATGAGGTTCCTGCCAGATCATTTCTCCAGCATGTCAAAGTCCACCCGACTGGCAGTTCAACCCTCTGGTACACCAGCCACTCGTATCAAGAAGTTATCACTAATCCTGCTGGATTGCTTATGCCCTGCAACATTGTCCCTCCAGGAAATATCATGGTAGTTGAAGACCCCATTAAGGATCAGGATCTACAAACACCAGGCTGTTTCTGGCTGTCTCTACAGGGCTCCATCTGCTTGTTGCTCCAGGTGAGGCAGCATAGGTAAGTAGGCATAGTAGGCATAGTAAATGCCTTCTACCAAGTCACCACTATTGGTCTGCTCTTTAATCCTTATCCACAAGCTCTCTCATTCAGCTTCAGGCAGGGCTCCATGCACTCCAGTTGCTCCCTCCTTGTCTTCCTGGCCAGCCCTTCCTAAAGAGTCTGTATCCCTCCACAGCAGCCCTCAGTCACAGAATCACAGAATGATTAAGTTGGAAGAGACCTTCAAGATCATCGTGTCCAACCAATGCCCTAATACCACAACTAAACCATGGCACCGAGTGCCACATCCAGACTTTTTTAAAACACATCCAGGGGTGGTGACTCCCCCATCTCCCCAGGCAGACCATTCCAGTGTTTAATCACTCTTTCTGTGAAGAACTTTTTTCCTAATGTCCAACCTATATTTCCCTTGGCACAGCTTAAGGCTGTGTCCTCTCGTTCTGTCAGTTGCTGTCTGGTGAAAGAGACCGACGCCCACCTGACTGCAACCACCTTTCAGGGAGTTGTAGAGAGTGATAAGGTCACCTCTGAGTCTTCTTTTCACCAGGCTAAACAGCTCCAGCTCCCTCAGCCATTCTTCATAGGGCTTGTGTTCCAAGCCCCAGTCCATTCATTGCATCCCCAGGATCCTGACGAGATCCTTCCCCTGCAGCTGCACACAGATCTCCAGTTCCCCCTGTTTCTGTCCCATCTTGTGTGCCCTAGTGTGCAGGCTCTTCAGAGGGACTTCCTTACATGAAAATGCCTGAGGTGGCCCCAGCTGAGCCCTGTTTTATTCATGTTGTGTTCCTGTGGTTCACATCACCCTGGGTGCTTTGCTCAGCAGCCTCCCCATCCTCCCCCAGAGCTGCGGTGACTCCCCCTTCCCTTGGGGCTCCTGGTTTAAAGCCCTCTTCACCAGGTCAGCCACCCTGCAGCAAGGATACGTGTGCAAAGATAGCACCCTGCACCTGACATTGAGTTGATCTGCTTATTGTAAGGCTGACACTGAAGATTTTCTGATGGAGGAACCTCTACTGTGAACCAGGAGAATCTGCAGAGCCAAGCAACTATATTCATGTTTCTATGAATCCCTAAAATGTGAAGGGATTTCCAAGTGGGTTTCACTGCTTTATTCCTCCTTCCTCTGTGGAAGCAAAACTCTTCATGGAAAACAGACAAGAAGGAGTTAAGGTCTATTCCTATGGAACACATTAAGTTTAGAAATCTAAAAACACATGAAACTTTGAGGATATACATCCATATATGCA